GTGCCCCCCCCGGCGGCAGGGGGGCAGCGGCAGGCGTGCTTGCCTCCGCCCGTGAGCCAAGAGCTGCGCCTTTCGAACTTTAATCTCGCCTCAAACGCCGCTGAGACGGCTTGCAGGCAGCAAGCGAAGCATGTGCGTTAGGTGTTCGGAGGAGCGAAGCCAGAAACTCATGGCCTTTGCTGCTTTCAACAAACCTGATTACCTGTTTCTGCAAGGAAAAAGAAAAAAAAAAGAAGAAAGGCCTTCCTTTTCATGGTTCACCGCTCTTGTTGGGCACAGAGTCAGGCCTGTTGCCATGTTCAGCTGGCATATTGGCAGATGGGAATTTGCATATGGGATGGGTATAGGAGAAATTACACACAATGGCAAAAAACGAACAGTGAAATCGCAGAAGTTCATTCTTTTTCCCACAGGTCGAGGTTTACAGTTTTGGCTCTTGTGTTTAATGGAAACTTGCATTCTTGGAAATTGCAGCGCTTTTTTTTCCAAAGTCTTGGGGTTTGTACTAGGAAGAATAAACAGTGCATCAGTTTTATGAAAAGTTCTAAATTTACATTTTAATGAAGCAAAGTGCAGAGATTTTATTGTGTTGGATTAACTCCTCCATGCCCAAGGAATGTGTGTGTGTACAGTAGGGAGGTTTCTAAAGTTTTCGGTGTATCACTCCAGTGACTGACATATACAGTACACAGTTTATAAAGAACCTAATTCCTTACTGCTCTCTGTAAACTAGAGAAAGAAACGCTTGACAGGCCTGCTGCAATCAGGAAGGTTTTAAATGTGTTCAGGCATGGAAAATTTGAGAAGGTGCATTTGACAGGCAGTGTAATCCTCAGCTTGAAGAGATCCACCCCATCAAACACATGCACGTGCTCGACTTTAAACAGCTGAGTGACTCCTGGAAACTTTTCTAGCACTATCCTTTTCTAATACCGGATAGCCAGTAGGCAGAAAAGACACAGACTCAAAGCCCCAGTCCTAACAGGCAATTAGCTAAATATTTGTGTATGAAATTAATGATAGGCAGATGACCAGCTCCAGCCTGAAAAATCGGGATATAAACCAAATGTCTTTAGACTCTAACCAGACTCTGAGTAAAATACATAAAGTCGCTTGGGTGGGGGTCTGCAGGGTAAGCGTTGCTGGTGCCAGCTATGGCACTACATAGTCTGGGCTCGGAGAACTCAGGACATTGCCCTGCTACAGGAACACCAAGAGCTGTCATTTGTATTTATTTGCCACCTTAGAGCAGATCGCACCACTGCAGCCACATTTGGCCTTGGCTCCTTCTGACTCTGCCAAGGCCCCTCAGCTGCTGGGGTGCTGGCAGTGGCTGGGACTGTGTGACACAGAGTTAGTGAGTGGATTAGCAGCCAGTTTGGCAAAATGGATCCAAATCATCTTTGAGGGCAGATGGGAGCAAGGAGGGACCTTCCTCAAGCTGGTCAGGAGGAGCAGAAGCCTCCGCCAGCAGTTGGTGGTACTGCCAGAGACCCCTCTGACCTCTCAGCCCCACTGGTTCCCCGCTCACCTGCTGGTGGTTTCCTCCTCCTTAACTGGGCACCATGCAGGGGCCTGACTTTTTGTAGCTGGGATAGGAAGAAGTCCCACCAAACACACACAAATAATCTTGGCACAAACCTAGTGTGACTAAATAAAAGCTATTGCTCATTTTCCCCACCATCAGACGTTGGAAGAAAGGTGCTCCCAAAATCCCGTCTTTCCATCTCTACCTGTTCAATACTGAAAGAGCTTCCCCCTCACGGGAGGGGGTGCCTTCCTCCTCTCTTGCACTTGAGATTAGCTTCAAGGAAGCCTGCTGGGCCACGACCGCCGGGATACGAAGATCAGGAGCACCAGAACGATTCCCTCTTCCTGGCTAAACATTACGAGACATGATTTTGAGCACAGCATCCACTTCCCCAAGTTACAGTGTATGAATATGCTCTGGAGAGTGACAGCTACTAAAAATGTTCCCCTTTGCCCTTTTAAATACTTGCTTGGTTGCCACATGCACATTTAAGTCTGAGATTTAAGTAACAGCTGGGAAAATCTCCCAAAATGTCTCCTAACCATTTTTGTAAGGAACATAGTGTCTGAGTGCTGTGAACACAGCCTTTTCAGGCAAAAAAAAGATCAAAATTGATGGCAGGTTTGGGTCCAGTTTTATTATGGCCCATCGTGCGTCTCCCTTCTTGCTGTTTCATTTCCCCTCCACCCACAAGAGTTACTGATATTCACTTTACATGTATGCCTATCTAAAGAAGGATTAAATAATGTGCTTAGACATGAATCTGAAATTTCCACATTATAGCTGTGTCCAGCCCTTTCAGAAAATCCTGCTTCGTAATAAGTTTTGTTTGAAATTCTAATCTTAGCTTAGAGATAGGATGACTTTGCAGGCATCCAGAGATGTCATGCACTCAGCACAAGGCTTCCACAAAGACACAAAGCTGATAAGCCAAATTCGGATAGCATGGATGAACTCTTCCCCAGCTGAACTGGCAGTAGATCCATCAAACATGAAAGAGCAGAAACTGCAAACTAAGGGCATCTGTTACCCTGAAACAGCTATTTTTTTTTTTTCTGTTTCATGCAAGAGCAGCAGGACAAAAATAGTCTTTATCATCAAAATACATGCAGCTAGTGCCCCTCATCCAATATTACGAAGTTGGACAGTGAATTTGTAGGTGTTCTGTGGGTTTGCTGGCAGAGGGATTGTTTCCCATTAAAACTATCTTGTCTGGAAAGGATATACATCTGCCTTGTTCGACGGAATCTGGTACTCTGACTTCTCTGTGCGTCTCAGGCTATGGGGTGCAGGCTGTTGACCCTCTGCAAAGCTAGCAATATGTTGGCAGCTCTGTAAATCTCTCTTATGGTACCTCCAGCGCTGACAAACAGGGTCTGATGCATTTGTTGCTGGGAATTTAGTACTTTCTATCCCCACTACACATAGTCACCAGGTAGCAGATGGGGTGATAGGTTTAGCTTCTGCAGTTCAGTGAGCTGACGGGTGCTGTTGGCTGTGGCAAAGGTATCCCCTACCTTTGTATCTGCTCCCTGCATAGCACGGGAAAGAGAGACCCACACCATGCTGGGTGAACTGTCTTAACTGACAGCAGCTTTATCCCCTAGACCATGCCCTTAGCTCTTCAAGCAGGTCTGAGCTTGCTATAGTTTGAGCAACGTTAGGCTGACTTCAGGCTATCTCTGCTCACAGCGGGCTCCACCAGCTTGGTGGGTGGCCATAATCCAGCCAAACCTGCCCAGAGCTGGGCCGCTGCTGCTGCTTGCGATGCAGGACATGCTCCCCCACTGGCTCCTGTGGCCTCCCCTAGGCAATGCTGCTGCCCTTTGTGGGCCCACCTGGTTCTGCAGAGGGTCAGCAAGTGGGCCACCAGCGTGTGTCAGTGAGAGAGGGCATGGTCCTGGAGAAATGCATTCAGCCCTGTAGTGTGAGGCTGCAGGCAGGGAACCATTCTGGGCTGGGGCTGCAGCCCCTGGCCTCTGGCACAGCCAGCAGTATGGGGGGAGGAGGGAGGAGGGGAAAGATTATCACACCCAGATGACATGGTTCCTACAATCATCTGATTTATGAAATCGAACATCTTTTAGCCTCCGTTTCCCTAACTCCACCTCTGCTCCAGGGACATGTGTCAGCCAAGAAAGGGGTAGTTGAAAAAAATGCCTTGTGCTCCAGAATATATCTTATATTCACTCTCTGCCATAAGCCCTAGCCTCATTTCCCTCTAGAGATGACCACACCACATTAAATCCTTGTGCAAAACCCACTAAGATTGCTTGCAGCCCCACATTACTTA